CTCTATTCCCCGTGGGGGGAAAAAAAGAAAGAAAGAAAAGAAAAAAGAAGAGAGAACACAGATTTAAAAACACAGTTAACAAAGCTGAAGCAATAGCCATGTCTTGACTGAAAATATATGTTCCTGCCCAATATATAAGAAATATTGTATATAGTTATAAGTGATTCTAGAAAATTTAAGCTGTTAGTACCAAACAGGTATATGTTTTCACAATTAAAATGGTTGTCAGAAAATAAACAGCAATAACAGAAGAGAATTAGAAAAAAAATATGTTTTAGGGGAATAAATGGAAAAGTACTGTGTACAGTATACAAACCATGATATTCATGTAGAGCATATAAATAGTGAACTATCTGGGGAAATTTTTGCTTCTCTTCTACTTTAACTTATGACAAATTAATTGATTGCAGCCCCCATACCCAAACATTTGGTATGTTTTTTTTGTTTAGTGGGTTTATAAAGCCTGCTGTTTTACCTTGGCTGAGATGGTGAATATTCTTATGGAGTCAAACAACAAAGAGCTCACCTTTACACTCCAATTATAGCCTCTCAGGGTCAGCACAAAACAAGAATAAGAATTGGCTAAGTTCATCTTCTGAACTTGATACTACTTATTTCTCACAGTTTACTGCTTCCTACTTCTATTTTTAGCACTTTTTTTCCCCTAGACACTTTCAGCTCTTCAAATAAAGAGAAAAAGTATAATAAAGTCACTTATAACATTGCATTAAATTAAGAACTTCTCTTTCTTATAAGGTCACTTTAATAATATAGTGGTTTTTTTTAAAGGGCTAATCCAAAAACAAAGAAGTTAAGGAATATTGAAATGTAAGGAAACAGTGGGAAAGATTTAGAGTAGTGAGCAGAAGGAAGGGATTCTGAGTACCACCAAAACAGGTACAGGCACCTCTTTAGTGTGCTCAGGTATAACTGGGCTTCTTCATTTTTTGCTGGACATTTAGAAGTTTGTCAAAGTTAAACCTGAATATGTACCTATTACAGAAAGAGAAGGACAGACACAGCAAGAGTCAGAGATATGAACACATTTATTTATTGTGAGTATTCAACTACAGAAATTTCAGTAAAACCATCTAACCGGCTTTACCAACATCTTCCAATTCAACATTTCATTGGTCTTGGGTAACGAATATTACATGAATTGTTCTAGGTTTAAAGATAGAATGTGTCTTAAATCAAGAGTGAAATAATTTTTCTAAAAGAGAATGTGAGATGTTAATATTCATTGGGTCATACTATACTTTCATTTAAAACTAAAATGCTTTACTTAAAAAGGCATCACTTTCCTTCTCCAAAATCTCATTCCGTAGATAGTCTCAGGATGTTTGAGAATAGGTCTCAGGGCATAAGGAACTTGTGCTAACTTGAACTCTAAAGTCACAAAACCTGTCTAGTAGTACTCTACACATGCATGTGCAGGAATGTACACACACTCACATATGTGGACAATTTCTTTTTCTGACATTGACTTAATTTTAATTAATTTAAAATTAAATTTAATTTTAATTGCACTAAATAAATACAATTTAGTAAGAATTTAATAGAAGAGAATTAGAATATTTTAATTGTCTAAACAATTTTATATTTTGGTTTTTTAAGGACTTTGACTAATGAAGATGCAACCTTAAGTTTGATGTTATGTTTAGGGATTTTTTTGGGGGGGGGTGGTTGTTGTTTCTGAAACTTTTTTTTAATTTTTTTTTTGCACAAAGAATAATATATTCTGTGTTTCATCATAGTTTCCTTTGTAGATTTGTGTCTCTTTAAAACATACTCATATTATTCAACAGATAGGTAGGTAGGTAAATCTGATACTGCTGCTAATTCTAATCTCTTTAAGGAAACATTTATTTTTACACATAAGAAAAAAGTACATGCATTAATCAGTTAAAATTTATGTTATACACTATCATTTTAATTTTTCAAGTAACAGTCTATAACCTTCAATTTTCTCACATTCTTTTTAATTTTTCTAACTCTTCAAATAAAGATAACATAAAATTTGCTCAAAAATGGTAATGATTAAAGAACTTGATTAAAATGCTTCTATTAATTATGTACTATTAATCATCACATCCTTCACTTTTTCTTCAACCTCAATGTCTTTGATATTTTTTCTCTTTCTTTACTTAGGCCACTCATAACTAAACTAACTCTGGGACTATAAGTTTTAGCACCAACCCCCTTCAGCCCTAGGCAAACCAGGATGATTGGTCACCTTGATGACAGTTCACCCTCCAGTTACTTTAAGTACTCTACTCTCTTTCTCCTCCTCTTGGTCTCTTGGTTCACTCCTGAACTCACTGCAGCTGGGTTTCTGCCTTTATCACTCATACACATGGGCTTTGCAAGAATCATCAAATGACCTTCAACTTTTCCCTAAGGAGACTTTCTAGTCCTTACCTCAGTGGGCCTTGCTGTTGGGTTTAATGCTGCTGATACATCTTCCCTGAATCAATTCACTACTAAGGCTTCTACAGCAGTTCATCTTACTGGTATCTAATTGTGCTTTTAACTCTATTTCATGGGCAATCTCCCTCTACTTGTTTTTTGAAAGATGATTTTCCTCAAGATTCTATACTTGGTCATCTCTTATTATTCTATAAATCCTTTGCATGGCTGATCTCACATCCTTTCATGTGGATCAGGACCATAGGATGAGGACTTTGAAATCTACTGCTCAGACTACCTGAAATATCTGTATGTTCCACATGCCCATTGAGAAAGCTGAAATTTTATGTGTAATGACCTTCACAATGATCATATCTCTCTTTCTTGTTGGTATTCTCAGCAATTATCCACTTATGCTAAAAATCATATCACCCAATTATATTCTGTTTCATCTCTATTTAACTAATTACTAAATTGTTCAATTTTGCCTCCTAGATAATTTTTATTTTTTTATTTTTTTTTATTGTTGGTTGTTCAAAACATTACATAGTTCTTGATATATCATATTTCACACTTGGATTCAAGTGGGTTATGATCTCCCATTTTTACCCCATATACAGATTGCAGAATCACATCAGTTACACTTCCATTGATTTACATATTGACATACTCATGTCTGTTGTATTCTGCTGCCTTTCCTATCCTCTACTATCCGCCCTCCCCTCCCCTCCCCTCCCCTCTTCTCTCTCTACCCCCACTACTGTAATTCATAATAAGGGTATATAAAGTACTAAACAGATAGATGCTCAGCTCAATATGCTTTTCTAACATTATACACAGTCCCTACCCACCTCTTCCAAAGAGCCTGGGGCCATTATGCTCTATGATTCTACCTAAAATATCCAAAGTGCATATATGAAAACATAAATTGGTGTGAATATACTATGTATACAACCAGAGATATGAAAAATTGAGCTCTATATATGTAATAAGAATTGTAATTCATTCTACTGTCACATATAAATTAAAAAATTACATAAAAAGCACTGATCATTTCAATAGCACATTCTTTAAGATGGATGATGTGTGAATGTTTGAAATGTTAACAGGCACATCATTGAAAATAAACAACAAAAAATTGCATGGAAACAAACAAAGAAACAAACATGTCTTTTAAAGCTTTCAAATGGTTTAAAAAAATATCTTCCTACACAAATGCAAGCAATTCATAAACCACACATATTAAGGTCTTTAATGTGTATACAAAGCCTTTAATTTTTTTTTGTTCCTAAAAATTGGCTTAGCCTTTATAGTGAAAAAAGTACTTTGTATTTTGTAAAATATTAGGGCATTTCATGCAAAGCTCTGAGTTTTATTTAGCATATTTTTAAATGCCATACCAACATATTTTGGGGAGTCTAAAAATTTTATGGAATAAATACATATGCATTGCAAATGTTTTTCATAACAATAAATGGAAATGAAAAAATTAGAAGGAAAATTATGTATTATTATTTATAATAAGAATATTTGTCATCTTTAACCACAATGAATGTTTAAATTCCAGTTTGCTTTTAAGTTAATACTGGCTAAAGTAAATTGCAAAAGACTTAATAAATCTGAATAAAACTTATTTATTAAATAATTTCTACTATGGACATTTGTTTCTTTTTAATGTTCACATCTTCTTATAGAAACATTAAATAGGTCCTCTGGTATCCTTAGCTCATTTAAGTAGTTCAATGAACTTAATATCAGTGATTAGAGAAAAGAGATGTCATTTTCAAGATAAATTCTTTGGACATTTCTTATTTATGGAAAATCAATAACATAGTATAACAGAGATGGAATCCTATAGCATTTTCAGTGGAAAACTAAGATAAATATAGATAATCTTAATTGTGACTTTGATTAACATTAAACAACCATTTAATTGTTAACAATAAACTACCTTTAAAGGAATGCTTTCTTTTTAAGAGAAGCAGTTTTACACAATAAGAAATGTAATATAATTTAAGTGTAGAATAATAGAATCCATGCATGTACTATAAGTATCCAGTAAAATCAAGTTAAACCCACATATATATACGCTTTTATACTCATAATTCCCCATATTTTTCAGAGTGTCAGAAATATATTAAGATAAAATGACATATATTTTGACTTTCAAAAATACTGAACTTGCTACTTATGAGATCTGCAAAACAAATTCACTTTAATGTCATATTTAAATTCATCGAATTTCAGATTAGTCAGTTTTCCAAGGTAGACAGTTTGTAGTGAGCAACTAAAAATCGTTTCTACTCTGTAATTATAAATAGATAAGGAAAACCATTTCAGGATCTTACAATGTTCAATCTTTTAGTATGACTTTCATTTTCTTGTTCAGTAGATATACTATCTATGCAGGTGTTATAAGGTGAGAGATACGATAGCCAATTATAGTAGCCTATCCCAGACTTTCCCAATAAAATAATAGTCCCATGTCCTAGAAAATTCTTTAGTCCTAATTCAAACCAGGACAGTTGTTAACACTCCTGAGATATGAACTAAATTTTCAGATAATAGATTTTCAGATAATAGAACCTTACCTTAACATCATTGGTGTTCATTCGGGTTCCCTCCTTTCCCACAAATATATCATCAATGTCAACGAGAATATATCTATCCAAGGACAGTTCCAGCTTCTTCCCTGACAAGAAGGAGATGGCATCTATGAAAATGAGCTTGTGCAGCCAAAAGTTCAAGTTGTTGCCAAAAAGAACTCTCTGAATTCCATCATGAACACCCAAGTCGTGTATGATAGTGGCAAAAAAAGCACCTTTAGAGACTGGAGGAGAAAGATTTTCCGGGGTCTTTATTTTGGCAAATATTACTGGTTGGTAGGTTGAGTGATTAATTTGAAAAACTGTCCAGTCAGTTCCAGGTAAAGAACCCCTTTCAAGCTTTGATGATTTGGTCACACGGAGCAAAGGAGAATGAGGATTAATACAACAGTCTTTTACTGCCAGGTTTCCATATATAGAAAAGGGGAAGCCTTTTAACTGAAAGCTCTGTAAACTCTTCTCACTAGTTCTGTGGAATCCAATGACACCCACACCATACTCTACACAGTATTTATCTAAAAGGCTTCGATTCCAAGAGTCCATATTTATGTATTTTAAAATATTCTCATAAATAATGAGAACATATTTGCCTTTAGTTTTGTCTGTAAGTGCTGGGAGATCTCCTTTTCCGGTAGCAATTTCAATGTGATACTGGAATCTACTTGATTCTAGAATCATAATGATGTCTTGACCAAGGGATGAGTACTGACTCTCCACAAACACAAGGACAATGGAGTCTGTCCTTGCGGCATCAAAAAGCTTCATTGCCTTCACTTCCATTAGTCTATACGGTAGGTGTTGGAGGTCACCGCAGTCCACTTCTGAAGCCACTTCAGAGAGTTCATTTTCCTGTTTGTAGCCACTGTACAGGTAGTAAGCAGAAATAATAATGCTCACCACACAAAAAGTGGCAAGCAAAATAACCGTCCTTTGAAAGTGTCTGTGAAGCTTCATGATAAAACTCATGATGTATAGGTTTTCCTTGACTCTTCCAACAGAAGCACCATTTAAAAAAGAAAAGAAAACTTGGTGTTTCAGGTACTTTCCCAGTCTCAGTCAATAGTTTATGTCACCATTGCAGCACATTTGTATTGCTTGATTATGACTCACAGGAAATACAGTCTGAAAACAGAATAAAACAAAACAGTTTTCAGCACCAAAATGAGCAAATTTTTATGTGATTTAGTGTCAGAATAGGAAGCAGGGGAACTGATAATAGGTTAGAAAACTTTCCATTCCTTCTCCCAGATATGGATGAAGACAAAGGAAATATGGAATGAGAAAAAAGGATATCACTGAACCCAGGTCACTATCCCTAATACAGAGAAACACTGGGCTTTGCATCACACTCTGGAGATAATACAGACCTACTACCACAGAAAGGTTACACTGCCATTTCCTGTCATCCAGATACATATCATATATTGCACATTCAAGCAGTTTGTTTAATTACACACACTGAAAGTTCACAAAAGTATGGACATGTTTCATTATTTGACACAATAGTCTTTTTTCCAAAATATGAAGGCAAAAAAATTTGTCACTCAGCATACATTTCAAATTAATCAGAGAAACAACCCAATAATAGTTACTTTAATTAGAATAACCCTTTCAAAATACAGATATAATCCCACTATCCAACTGATCATTTTAGGACTATATATTGACATAGCTAGGTTTTCAAAATTCAGAACAGTTATGTGGTAAGACAAATGTGAGGAGTGAAACACATCTTGGGGTCATACAGCTCTGTTGTATCATGATATGCACTGTGGGGGAGGTAGGCAATCATGTTCTGGAGAATACATACTCACACATTCATTTTCTCTATCATTCTGCTTCTGCTTTGTGAGAAAATATCAGCAATTATATGAAAAAATGACTATAAAAGTGGGTTTTTTAAACAATGAGAACAACTGAGATGTCATGAAACACTTTGTTATGCAGTCATTTCAAACCTGTTTCAAATTTTAGGAAACTTTGAAAATTTAGCAGCTGAAAATAATTAGAAGGAAACATGGATACATCTTAGACTTTCACAGTCTCATATAAGGAAATATCATGTAACACATGCAAAAAAAATTAAGAAAAGTCTCCTTGCTATACTTAAGAAAGGCTAATAGGTAGTTGGTTAAACAACAAGCATTGGTGGAAAACATTGTACTTGATATTTGCCTTAAGTTTAGGATTCATTGTGCCTTGCTTCTTAATTGCCATTCTGTCCCCAATATCCTCCAAATAAAATGATGAGATTAAAATAAATGATTACCAAGAACTCTACATTTTAAAATTCTGTAATATCTATCTGTAAAAAAAAGCAGTGAACAGTTTTTAAATGATGTATGTTTATCTTTATGAATAATATAAACACTATGAAATATAACAATAGAATATTTATGATATTTAACCTGCAATTTATATTATTGTTTATTCAAATATTTAAGGTATCTATGTCATTCATTCAAATATTTATGGAGTAACTATCTGTTTAAAATACAAATGTTTGGCATAATTCCTTTGAAATGTTATAAATTTTAAAGCAGAGAGTGACTAAAATCATAATAAATGGGTTGTGCATTATAGGCAAGAAACTATAATGGGATGATAAAAGAGAAACTACAGTAAGTGATGTAGTATGTAAAATGCTCTAGGGAGATATAACTTGGGAAAAACCTTGAAAGATGAGAGTAATTTGAATAAACACTTGAAATATTGGGGATGTCATAGAGCCAGAAGTGAGCACAATATTGGGTGAAGTACCTGAATGAAAAGTAGAAGATACAAGTGAGGAATACTTACAAAAATAAATTTTACCCAGATTATGAAGAAGTTTGATACAAAGAACTTTATGGTTATGAAAGCTCACAGGCAGACATTATACTTCCCTGATTAGGGAACAAGCATAGTAACAGGAACATTTTTCAGGAATTAGAATTAAACAGCATCATGGAGAATGTCATAGACAGTTGAGTCTGGCTAGCCATATACGTACAATATAGTCTCATTTCCTACAACATGATCATGAAATGTTAGTGGTCATTGGAAAGGGAGAATGTGGGGAAGTGAGGGATACTTTAAGTCTGTGAAACACTTTAGATATTGCTGAAAAGTACTTGGTATGCCATGAGAGGTGTGTGCACAGCCTGACTGCTGTGGAAAATACCACCAAGTGATTTGACATGCTTTAAAATAAAGCTACTATAAAGGATAACACTGTACTCTTTAAACAAGCTTAGTACAGGTCTATGTGTAATGTAAGCAAATGAAAACATTACCTGAACAATGGAGAGTTTTCATTGTAACTATAGTCATTTAATTTTGATAAGTAATTACACTTTTGAATTGGTTACATGTTTATGAATATGATATTCTGGAGTTTAATGGCAGTATACAAAATCTCACATCTTTCCCTGTCTACCTTTCAATTTCGGTTGTGAAATGTTTTTGACTGGATATGAGATGTATTACTTCATTTTGCATTTCATATAACATTTCCCAATTTGTTTCCTTTATCAGAAGTAAAATGTATTTAAGTGATATAGTACTCATCAGTGATGAGGCAAAGGGTGAGGAGTATTTCCACTCACTATTTAGAACTGATATTAGGAACCTATCAAACATATTTTTTGTTAACAGGTATAAAATGTTGAAGAACATTTTTTACCATTAAACTTTTCAACTTACTTTCTGATGCCAAAGGAATTCCACTGTATGTCCCTGACGGTAGAATTTGGTCTAATGAATTTAAATAGATACATTAAGTTTCCCCTATTTTCTGCAAACAGTTTTTTTTTTTTAAGCGAGAAGGGGGGGAGAGAGAGAGAGAGAGAGAGAGAGAGAGAGAGAGAATTTTTAATATTTATTTTTCAGTTTTCGGTGGACACAACATCTTTATTTTATGTGGTGCTGAGGATCGAACCCAGCGCCCCACGCATGCCAGGTGAGTGCATTACCGCTTGAGCCACATCCCCAGCCCTGCAAACAGTTTTTAATTGCACATTTCACTTGGCTGTTGCCAACTTTAATCTCCAGTGTGGACTCTCTAAATACATTATTTATCCTTACCCAGAAACAACTATTTCATACTTTCTGCTATGTTTATGTTCTGAAAACCCCAGGATGAAGTTCTACAGTGGATGTCACTGTAGCGGGGGGCAGAGGCAAAGGCCCTACCTTCTCCTGAGCCCTGCCCCACACAGCAGGGACATCACTAGAGCAGGTATTAAGATAGATGATTAAGTTTCTCCACAAAATTCTCCTATGAAGCTTTCTCTGGCCTTCTCAACTTGGTAAGACCCAATAGATCCACATGGTCATTGTGCAAAGTATCTCTTCTTTGTATTTATTGCCATAGTTATAATTGAATTTTTGTTTAAAGTCATTCTCCCAATTGGACTAGAACCCTGAAAGGATAGAGTTAATGCCTCTTTTGTTCTTCATTGTTTCCCTTGTTCCAGGACCAGAGTAAGAACCCAGTAACTATTCATGAAAGTTATTGAATATAATGGCATGTTATACCTATCCATTAATTTACACTTAGAAGTGTACTCTAATGTCATAACTTTTACAGTTAGACATGACTATAAATGTGATTATAGTTACTCATAAATTTGATAAACTTAGCATCTGCTTTATTGTACACTAAGTAAATATAACTATAGCAACCCAACATATGATAAATCTAATATAATATCTATAAACCTTTGCTGCAGTCCGGCTGCAGCAAAATAACCGGGGGGTGACGAGGAACTTGTGTACACTGATACAGCAGGAGTGGGAGCCGTTTATTGTAGGACAGGAGGAGTATATATCCTTTCCACACAGATTATCCTAATTAACATAAACTAGATACAGCAGTCAACCAATAAGGAATCTCCACACTTAATGGCTCACTGGCTTTACTTCACAAACCACTCCCTCTGGCAAAATGCCAGGCGCCATCCAGACTTGTTTACAGACTCTAACAAACCTTCATCCACTAAAGGTATCTATCAATTAGTCATTCCATAATCAGACATTAAGTAGTTATTAAAAAACTTCTTTGATATCACTGCTGTACTCAGTTTTAGGGCACTATGTAAATAAAATTAAGAATTAAATATTGCCTCTATAGAAGTAGACTGTATTGAGGGAAATGAGCCTTGTAAACGAAAAACCAACATTATGCTGCACACAGTAAACGTTGTAAGACTATCTATGTTACAGGTTTCAGAAGAAAGAGGGTGTGTGGGTAGGGGAGATTAGTAAAGCTTAGGAGAGTCAGTGGCAGTTTCTAACAGTCATGGTGCCTGAGAAGACATGGGCAAGGCCTGAATATGGGGATGGGAAAAATACAGAATGCAAAAAAAAAAAAAAAACCTGGCCATATTGAAGAAATTAAATAGTTAATTTGCTTGAGTGAGAATAAACTATGGGGCACTATGTCTTAGGATGAAACTGGATATATAACATTTGTTTGAAAGAATGCTGCAGATTAATGAATGCCCTTGATAGTAATTGTTAAGTACAAGAGTATTGACATGTAAAATATTTGAACATAGAGGGACAACAAAAAGAGTTTGTAGATTATTAGTGTAGCGGTGACATCCAGAATGGACAAATAGTAGAAATGTGAACAGAGAATGTCTGCTACAGAGTGAAGAAGTAGATATAGTCAAGATAGTCCCAGCCAAGGAGCTGCTGCAGTAATCCATATAGAAAGTGGTGTGAGTCTAAACTAATGTAATCATCAAGGAGAATAGAAATGAAGAGATACTTGGGAGTAAAATAGAAATTATGGATGGAGAAGATTGCAGGCTTTGTTTACAAATAAATTTGCCAGCCTTAGAAACAGGAGCTTAGAGTGGAAATTAGCTTGTTATATACATTTCAGATGCAGGCAGGTGAAGTAACTAAATGATATGTAGTCAGGTAACAAAATCACAATGTCCTATAAACTAACTTCAAGCATATGGTTGAAACTGATGGGTTACTAGTGAATCTCAACGTGCTATGTAAACTTAGATCCTCAGGAAAGGCTTTCCTGACCAAATCCACTTACCCACCACTGCCTTTACCCTCACTGAAGTCTTTATCACAAATCTTGTTAAATACAAGTTTAGAGTTAGACTCAAATTGCCAAA